GGGGCGGGTGGCCTTGGGTACAGCTCGAGGATGTCCCCATGTCCCCACGGCGGGCACTGTCCCCCCCCAGGGACATCAGTGGTGGCACCTGAGTCCTGTGTCCCCAAGTGCCCTGTCCCGTGTCCCCACTGTCCCTCATGTCCCCTGTGTCCCATGTCCTGTGTGTCCCCTCTGTCCTGCTGTCCCCATTGTCCCCATGTCCCCCGTGTCCCCTCGTTGTCCCCATGTCCCCTCAGGTCCCTGTCCCCCATCTTCCCCAACTGTGCCCGTGTCCCCAACGTGTCCCCACTGTCCCCCTGTGTCCCCGCTGTCCCCCCGCTGTCCCCCTGTGTCCCCTCAGGTCCCTTCACATCCCCCTGTCCCGTGTCCCTCTGTGTCCCCCCATGTCCCCGTGTCTGTGTCCCTCCGTGTCCCTGAGGTGTCCCCGTGTCCTTCACTGTCCCCCATGTCCCCATGTTTGTGTCCCCGCCGTGTCCCCTTGTCCCCTGTCCCCCTGTCCCCGTGTCCCCGTGTCCCCTGTCCCCGCCGTGTCCCTGCCCTGTCCCCACCGTGTCCCTGCCGTGTCCCCTGTCCCCGTGTCCCCTGTCCCCTGTCCCCGCCGTGTCCCCGCCGTGTCCCCGCCGTGTCGCTGACGTGTCCCCGCCGTGTCCCCTCAGGTGCAATAACCGCACTCAGTGCGTTGTGGTCGCCGGCTCCGACGCCTTCCCCGACCCCTGCCCGGGCACCTACAAATACCTGGAGGTGCAGTACGACTGCGTGCCCTACAGTGAGTGCTGCCCCATAGCCCGGCCCCATAGCCCTGCCCCATAGCCCGGCCCCAGAGATCCTGACCCATAGCCCGGCCCCAGAGATCCTGACCCATAGCCCTGCCCCATAGCCCTGCCCCATAGCCCGGCCCCATAGCCCTGCCCCATAGACCGGCCCCATAGACCGGCCCCATAGACCGGCCCCAGAGATCCTGACCCAGAGATCCTGACCCATAGCCCTGCCCCAGAGATCCTGACCCAGAGATCCGGCCCCACAGACCGGCCCCATAGATCCTTCCCCATAGATTCCATCCCATAGATCCGGCCCCATAGATCCTGCCCCATAGATCCTGTCCTGCCCCACAGCACCCCAGAGCCACCACCCCGTCCCAGCACCTACCAATACCTGGAGGTGCAGCACGACTGTGTGCCCTACAGTGAGTGCTGCCCCATAGATCCGGCCCCATAGACCGGCCCCATAGATCCGGCCCCATAGATTCCATCCCATAGATCCTGCCCCATAGATCCTGCCCCACAGATCCGGCCCCATAGATCCTGCCCCATAGATTCCATCCCATAGATCCTGCCCCATAGATCCTGCCCCACAGATCCGGCCCCATAGATCCACCCCCATAGATCCGGCCCCATAGATCCCATCCCATAGCCCTAACCCACAGCTCTGCCCCATAGCCCTGCCCTATGGCCCCACAGATCCTGCCCAGGCACCCACAGATACCTGGAGGTGCAGCACAACTGCGTGCCCTACAGTGAGTGACCCACACATCCTGCCCCATAGATTCCATCTCATAGATCCGGCCCCATAGATCCTGTCCTGCAGATCCTGCCCCACAGCTCTGCCCCACAGCTGTGCCCCATAGCCCTGCCCCATAGATTCTGTCCTGCAGATCCTGCCCCACAGCTCTGTGCTGTCCTGTCCCACAGCTCTGCCCCACAGCTCTGCCCCTTAGCTCTGACCCACAGCTCTGCCCCACAGTTGTGCCCCATAGCTCTGCCCCATAGATCCTGTCCTGCAGATCCTGCCCCACAGCTCTGTGCTGTCGTGCCCCATAGCTCTGCCCCACAGCTCTGACCCACAGCTCTGCCCCACAGCTCTGCCCCACAGCCCCTGTTCTGTGCCACGGCTGTGCCCACAGCCCTGCCCTACAGACCCCGCCCCACAGCGTCCCCCCCAGCCCCACAGCACCCACAGGTGCACCGGGGCAGTCCCGCCCCACAGCACCCAAGGGACCCC